ATATTGGGGGCCCTGGGGAGGGGGGGAACATAAGCAAAAACCAAAACCTAAAAAATCCCAAACAAATAAATACATATTTTATTTTGACTTGTAAACAGCCAAACAGCTTCATTTTCAGAGGATGTTTATAGAACAATGGGTTGAAAGTCAGCAATATTAATTGACATTATATAAGCTAATGTAAAATACATATGAATTTTTTTTGTTTTATAAGTAAATTTAGTATTAAAGATAGTCTATCTATATGTTAGACGACATTTTTTTATTATTACCTCGAACAGTTCAAGAGCCATTACTCACGCTATAATTAGTATAGGAAAAAAACTGAAGCTTTGTATGTACCAGCATTTTACTTAATGAAACGCATAAAGCCAGTCTCATTTCCCACTCTACAAGTGGATTAGGGTGCTGCAGATAATCTGTGAAGCCCCACGCATCAGCTCATCTACAAAAGGATGTGCAGTCATACACGTACAATCACTAGCTGAAAGGAATACCACACTGCTGTGTCAAAATTACACGCAAAGGGTTACCTTACAATTATTAAATAAGAGCTAAATAATACTCTCACTCTTTAAGCCAATGTTCTCTATCAAGATAATCTGTAATAATAGGTATGGTTTAAAAAAAAAAAAACAACAAAAAACCTCATGCTACATTTCATCAAAATGTTCTTGTATAATATACCAAAATACAAGCCTTAAAAATGTACCTCCAAGTCTGTTCAATGAAAAAATAATTAAAAGAAGAAATTACCAACTTCATTGAACTGTTGCAGTTGTCAAAATATTCCATAGATCCTAATGCTGTAAAATATGTAACAACATTTAAACCACAAAAACCTTTTCAAGCTTTTAAATGCACAATGAACATCTCTTTGGGAAAGTGGGTCAGCATTAGTTATGGGATGCTGCATTGATAATTGTATGGTTAGACAGTTAAAATAAACTGAAACAAGTTATGCTGCTTCTGTTAAAAAAGAAAGGAGGAAGGGATCATGCTTTGTGCAAAAAGACAAACACATAATAGTGTGGACTATTTTTTTGCCCAATTGAAAAAATTCCTTGCACGGTAATAAACTGATCTCACTAACAATATATAAAGCTCTGTAGACAAGAGTCAGATTTATGATTAATAAATTAAAGCTATATTTTTTCATATCAACATTTAAAAAATATTTTTATTTTATCTTTTAAAAGCTCCATCTGGATTTGCATGCTTAGAGAAGACAATGATCACTTTTCCAGAGCATCTTGTGTATGCTCACTCAAGCATGTTGACCAGGTGGTACTTTCAGGCCCTGGTCCTGCATACACTTTCATACAGTCTTAACTTTGAGCACAACATTAATGCCACTGAAGCTAACAAGGCTACTTGAGTGCTTAAAGCATGTACCAAGTGACTACAGGATCAAGAGCATAGCATGAGTTCAATACAATACGTAACAGAAAGAAAGAAAAAAAATGTTTACTTCCACATGCACTGATAACTACAATAAATCATCACTATAGTTTTCCCGCTTTATTTCTACAAATGAATGAGGCAGACCACAAACCTTCCAAAATCAAAAAAGTCACAGAGGCATCACATATTTTATGATTAAAGTTTAAGTATTTAAAAAGAAAAAGGCCTAACATTGACCTCATGGAAATTCTGAAGATCTTTTTTCATAACAATTTTGAAAAATATGAAGGATAGAGAAACTTTTGCACTCAAAGTTTTATTTGACCTAAATTTTACTTGGTTATTCAGTTGGAGGGGAGGAGGGAAGAAAAGAGGGGAAGGAATAGACAGTGGATTAAATTTGTTTGCATAAGAAAGTTACACAAACAATACATCTGTCTACAATGTTAAAAAGAAATGTTCCATGCATTCAAACATTAACATATACTAAATATATATTTATATGTATACATATACACACTAGCATGCATATAGGAAGTGTGTATATTTGTATATATACATATAAATAAAAATTTCTAAATGAATACAAAAAGTGTCAAATATTAAAATTGAAACAGCTTAGTAAGAAAGAAATTCAAAGCTGTGACACACAGCTCTTAACTCAAGCATTTTTATTTAAACACATAAAAGCACAATGAGAGTTTCAACTGTCAATCTTAACTGAATTTCTCGACTTGTCAATTTGTCAGGACCTATGGAGTTTCTCAGCTTTCTGTATTATACTGTGTTGAGAAATAAATATATCTATAATATTTTTAAGGGAATGTCTTCCTACTAGACATTGCTTTATTTTGGCAAAATGCAGCGTATATGAATATACATGTCAATATACTTGATATAGCTGGAGAGATTTTTAATACTTACCAAAGCATGCAATAATAAATCCAGATAAAACTCATCTGAAAAGGACTACATTCAGCCACTTTTCATTAATATTTCAGTTCTACATGGTAATATATATCTATGTTTGCCAAATCACTCTTTTAAACTACTTCAATTTCTTTCTTTGAAAAAACCTGAAACAGTTAAAATGTTTGTAGCATAATGCAACATAATATAATTTTATTAATATCTTAATAGAAATGCATTTTGGGGGAGATGCTGTATGCAAAGTTTAGGCACAGCGTTAGAATTCAGTTACCAGTCCCCCTAAAAATATAAAATTCTGACATTATTTTAAGCAGAGGAGGATAATTTCTGTATTTGTGTATTTTACATAAATTTAACTCTTATTGGCTTTAGTCTACCTTTCTGTACTTACACGCTCTGTTTTGTTAATCTGTGCATGTTCTGTAAGAACTGGTGTCCTAGCTGTTTAGCGTACCATTTTCACCTCTGAAATACCTGGGAGCACAATTTCATAGACAACATTTAACCCGCCAAGAACAATATTACCATTCTTCAAATTCTATGCAGGAACTAGGCTTGTGCCTTCAAAGTAAAAAAACTTGAATATGTGATTATAGAATACTTTATATAAATTTGAAATGCTTAAGAAAGGAGAAACTATGTACCACAAAACATATTCTGACAATTAATTTAATTTTACCACCAAGTAAATTCAATTAAGTTAAAATACAAGGCGAAGTCAAAATAATCTGAATGGATATACTTTATGTCAAACCGCTGAGATTAAAGAAGATACCTGAACTCTAGAAGGGAAGCAACTTCCTTAAGTACAAGCAAAGGCCCAAATACAACAGGAGACAATTCTTGCACATATCTTAAATTGTCCTGTTGTTACATGTTTTGAAACAGATATGCATAGTTCTATTTACATGCCAGACTACCAGGAGGGATAACTGGAGTAAATAGCTTAAATTAATTTAGAAAAAGGTGTGTGTGTACTTACTGTAATTATACTATTAGATATAACAAAAGAAAAGGTCCTTTCTTGTCAAGTGATATGCAGATAACTATCTATGCTTCATAAATTTTTATAAATCTAAAAAGTTGTATCCTGACAATGCACAGGACCCTGGCACAGTTAGCTTTCTCTCTCTCCCCCTATCCTTACTATTTTTGATAATTATTCTATTACTACAAAAAATACTATGAGGTACACTTTTTGTTGGCTGACACTATTTCCAGTGAGATGTGTATCTGGAGCATCACCTCTCTTTCAACAAATTTGTTAGTGGATTTGTATAGGTTACTATTTCCATCCATATCTCCATTTTTGTGCTGTATAGAACTTTTTGCAAGGATTTTCAAAATCTTATTACCACAGTATCTAACTGTCCCATACTAAGTTACCTACATAAAGGAATGGATTCCATTGTCTCTCTCTTCTACCTTCCATGACTGTAGAGAAGTGCCTAGTACAGACACTTCAGTTTCTCCTGAAAAAGACACTGCTCTCCCAGGAGAAACAATGACAGACGGTCAGGCTCGTTCCCCCTAAGTAAAAGTGGCCACCCCAGGAGAAAAATAACCCGGGAATAACCAGGGTTAAAATCACTCCCAGGAGAGTTTCTGTACATACTGCAGGTTCTTCTTGGAGTAGAGAACTGGACTGGTTTTCACATTTTGGACACTTCTAAGTCCTTTCAGTTTCTTAGGCCCCTGCTACGCATTGCACATGTTATGCAATTAGCCAGTTAATTGCACTATAAATTTAGACTGGCCACATGTGGAAAGTAGGACCAGGCACACATGCAGAGTAATTATCACATGATAAAAATGACTATCCAGCTACACAAAGAACCAATCCGCTATAAATTTAGTGCTAAAAAATGTATAACAATTCTATAGCTGGTTTCCAATTTCCATTGCCCTTTAATGTGAATGTGTAGCAGGACCCTTACCAACAGCTTATCTTGCAACATACTCTAGTAGTGGTAAGATTTTGGATTGGTATTTTCTCCCCTGGCAATTACTTCCATAGGTGTCCCCCTCTACCCACTTCCACTGGCCCCTTAGAACACTTCTCTTCAGCTCTCTGAATTATGCAGCATATTACCCGAAGTAGTACAGATGTCTTGAATAGAGACATGGTTACTGATATATCCACATGCTGACATATCAGGAGGTTTGAAGAGGAGGCTCATGGCCTCACATGGGCAATAGAACCGTATCAAACAACTGACAAGATTAGCTATACTAGGGTTAATAAGTTTTTTCCCCAAGAATAAACCACTAGTGATCTGCAGAAAGAACAAAGAGTTCCACAGTGCTAGATCTCCTTGGTTTGACCTGTTGCACTGCAATGAAGACAGCTAGAATGATAAACAATATTTTCCTATTATCACTTTTCTACATAAGCAATTGTTATAATTGCCCTGTATAATTATACATAATATTATATGGTTGAGAATATGGGGAAGCAGCTGCACAACCAGAAGTGAGAGGGATAAGGTCCATAGGAATGTTTTAATTAATATCTAGTTCATCAGCATAAAATTTTTAGAATCCGTGGTGAAGCATTTCAATTGGAAGCTACATGTTTTAAGTCTAAGAGAAAACAATTTGGGGTGTAAGTACAGTTAGAAAGAATAGAGCCCTGAGTAAAGACATAAAATTTTAGATGCATCATTACCACTGGTACACACCAGCTCAGGTGTCATGTAAGCCTGTGTATTACAAGACAGTCTCTCTCAGTAACCCATGCAAACGTAGAGTTAACAAATGCACTGACAATATTAAATGAATGGCAAAAATAACAGAACCACCATTGGTTCTGTGCTAAGATGCATACATGTAATTCCAACTATAGCAAGAGCTGGGCAAGTAATTTCCAAGGGCAGAGCTTTTCATTTAAAATATTAAAATGCTTATGTCAGCAACAACTCATACAGAGTAAAAGGATTCACTCTGAGGTACCTACCCATAAGTATGACAGACCCTAACTGCAGTTATGCATAAGAATCAAGACAAAAACCCTCCTTTTTCCCGTTGCATACAATCTGTTGTACTCTATTTAGAAGGTGCTGTTTTTATTTTCCAAAAAATTAAGCAGATGAAATTAAAGAAGCCTATAAGTAATGGTTGCTCCAAAAAGATAAAAAATGGCCTGAATTCTTAACAGCAAAAGCCTTGCCATGCTTCTTGATAAGCTGACATTAATAAAACTAGATTATAAAATATGTATTTAAATCATCCTAAATTTTTTCTTAAGCGCATTTAATTGCTAGATTCCAAAAGGTCAAATGGTATAAGCAACTATCTTGAATCCTAACAGAACAAATACATCAAAACAGAGGGTAGCATACGGTTTTAACTTAACAATGTTTTACATCTGATTTGTAGATTATTTCAAAACTTAGTTTGTCAGTGGTTTACTACACAATTCATGTGTAAACATATCATTTTTAAAGTCTACAATTTATCTGGACAAAATAGCTAAAAAATACTATACCTAATAATCCTAAAAATAGCTTCTTCCCCCCATATAATATTTCTAGTTTTAGTTATTCAAATGATAATAGCATCTTAGTGGAAGCAATACATGAAATGGTCTAGATACTGTCACTCTGAAAACAAATAATGAAGTGAGTGTGGTATGTGTCTACCAGACGTGCAGTTACTACATGCAAAAAGGTCAATGCAATGTAATACTGTCCATAAAAACATTACATCCAGAAAACCCCCCAAACAGAAACCTTTGAATGAATGTCACAGTGGCATGCAGTAAAACTAAATTTGCTTTATCTATGCAACTACAACATTTTATCAAGAACTCTACATTGGTGCCTTCTACAATAGTTACACCCTTGTGTTTATGACACAGGAGCAAGAACCAGGAGAGCATACTACAGCAGGACTGACATTTCAACAATTCAGACAAATGGGTTACTAGTTCAGATTTTAAAATTCACTGTTGTCAAAGTGAATTTCAATGCTCAGTCAATCTTTAAAAAAAATTAAATGTGAATAAATTTACCTGTCATATTTAAGGCCATTTTCTTTCACCTACAGCTATTAAAGATAAATGTCTTTAGGCAGAAGTTCTTACACCTTCATTAAATATAAAATAGCAGAAAATCATGATCTAGGAATCCTTCATAACTAACAATTTGGGAACAGAAACTAAATAGTATGCTAGAGGCTAAATGTATTTTAAAACATTAAAAAGGAAGTTTTTCCAAGCACAACGCTTTATTTTCATCATTTTATTTTTTTCATATCAGAACTACAGGGGATTGAAATATTTATAAAATTCAGTCAGTTCTAGACAGGGTTCTACAATTACGAAACTAGATTTAACTGCAGAGTTTAACGTAAAAGGTAGGGTACATATATTGTGGTGAGGTTACATACACTAATATAGCAAAACCCACTTGATTTACAACTTTTAAAATACTCATGCACAACCATACTAATGGCAAAATCCTTTTTTCCCAAAACGTAAGCATGTATTTATACAGAAACATGCATTAAGGGTGCTACAGCCAGCACGTAATCTAAGGTTTATTCAAAATGTACATAGTCGTTAGTTCCCACAAACCACTCATTAATTAATTTCATGTTTCATATCCAGATTAAGACTAAAAGGTGATTTAGCTGCACAAAAGATTAATTGTGGGCAAGTTTAATATTAAAGGAATGCATGGGAAGTTAGTTGTGAATTGCTTGCCTTTATAAATTAAGTTATAACACATTCTGATTTCATCTAAAAATATAAAAAAAAAAAAAGAAAAGGATTTTTCCGTTGTAATTCTGTGATGGACAGAAAACTTAAGTTTAGCAGCACACACATAAGTCCTATTCACTAGGTGAGAGATTTAGTGAATAACTGAGGATGTCCTTAGCCTTTGATGATAAGTAAAAGGCATTGCTTGTGAGACAACCATGACAAATGATTTCTCAGTGAGAGGAAAAAACATAATAAAAGATTTCATTTATTTTTCTGGTTTACCCAGCATAAAAGATACGAAGTGGATGGGTAAATAAAGAAAATAAAATTCCAAGAAAGAAAAAGTCAGCATTTTAGCTGCATGACACTTCCTTTCTTTCTGAAACTATTAACAAGATGCGTTGTGTATCAAAATATTACAACTCGTCTTCATTCCAGATTTCATTTCTCTACATACATTAAAAGAAAGCAGCCTATGTAAACGCTGCACAAGATAAGTCTTCTGTATACTAATGCAATATTCAGAGCAAAACTAAATGTGAATTTTATACCTTGATTAAGGAAGTGACCACAATTGCTCCAGCATTCACCATAGGATTGTGAGGTCTGTCTGAAAAACAAACAATTTTTCAATTATTTGTAAATCCTTACAGCTGAAGTATACCGATAGTGTAAACAAAACCAGCTAATATGTATCCAATTAAAAAATATACATCTATGCACTTGGACCTACAGTATTTATAAACTTAAATGACCTATTTCATCAGTGTGACACACAATTTTCTGTAGTGAAGCATTCTAAAGCCTACAGAATATCTTGCCCTAATATTATTGATCAACCAAAACTGTAAAATTCAAACAGTAAATTTGACTATTCATCTTCAATTTACCTGAAGTTTACATAGGGCCCCACAATTCAGGAAAAAGTAACGTGGTTGAAAAATATCCTCCCCCTCAATAGTTTGAATAATCTTTGGTGCAAAGTTATCCTGTCATGCTAATTTAAGTATTTTACAGGGGTAAGGAATGGTAGATAGAAAGGATAAAACACACATCAAACCGAGTTTTTCCAAATACACAAGTATCTATTAACTGACAGTTTCACCATTCTAGCTGCCATATTTACCCAAACCCAAAACAAGTTGTTGTGTCCCTGTCCCCTCCCCCCACATGCAATATGGCGGGGGGAAAGAAAGAAACCTCATCTTAGATTTGGTACAAGTCCAAGCAGGCAGCTACTTTGGCTCCAGTTCCATTCTTGCTCCAGGCCCTGGCACAGGTGGAGATTGCATGTTATGGGGTGGGAGGAGTGCAAGAAAAATAATGTGGTATGACCCAGGGGGTGCAGGGGTAAGATCTTAAGACTGCCACACAATGCCACACGTGATTCACAATACTGCTGGGTGTGCAAACACCTACACAAGATTTGCAAAATAAACCTAGAGATTTCAAATAAAAATCCATAGCGTCAACAACAACCTGACATGCTACAGTCTTGCTGAGTTCTTTGCAACGCAAGAATTGCTCTATTATTTTTTCTGCAGACAAAAATGAGCGAAAGCTAAGAGCTAGTATTTTCTGAGGGAGACCTCAAGTCTAACAATGTTGAGAACCACTCCTTTAAAGGTATTTTTTTGAAAACCTGTTCAATATTTTTAAGCTCTCTCAGTACATCAATTTTCAATTAAGAGAAAATACTGATTTGGAGCCTTGAGCTTGCACACAGGATGCCTGCCTGGATTTAGAGAGTATTCAAAGCCCTAGACCTGTGGTTCTCAACCTACTTGCCATAGTGGGCCACATTTGCAGCTCTCAATATGTTATGTGGGCTGCACCCCACAGCTGAGGAGTCCCCAGCTGCCAGAGCTACAGGACCAGGGCCAGGAGCCACCTACTCCCCCTTACCACCCAAGTAGTGCCCAAGCCTGAGGGGCCACCTGCAGGAGGCAGCAATTGCTGCAGCCAGAGTAGAGTAAGCATGGAGCCCAGTTCTCTCCCCCCATCCCCTGCAGGTGGCAAAGCCGGAGCAAAGCCCATGGTGGGTGGGCAGATCCAGGCAGGACTTGGAGCTGGCAAGGCTTGGTGCCACTGCTGGGAGCCCCACGCTGGCTACCCCAGCCATGGTGAGGTGCCCCCTGCCCACCCTGCAGCAGTGGTGGCACAGAGTTGTGCCCCCCACGGCTGCCAGATGGGCAGAGGGTGCCTCACCATGGGAGCATGGGGCTCCCAGCAGCAGCAATGAAGCTTCCCAGCCCACTCTGCCATGGAGGCCTCTGGGGGCAAGGGAGCTGGGCAAGGAGCCCTGAGCCAGCATCAGGCAGGCCACTTCTGAACCTAAATCTGGGGGCATGTGTCCCGCCCCCCATGCCTCCCACCCCAGGAGTGCACAGAGCAGCAGGAAGTTGCCCCCCCCAGTCCCCACTGTTGCCCACATGAGCCGCCTGTGGCTACAATCCCACTCCCCAGCCGGACCCTGCAGCCACACATTCCCTCCCCAGCCCTAGGTCCCACATGCTGCCCCACCTTTACCCTCCCTTACTCTACTCCCTCCCTCACCATGGGGAGCTCAATCTGCCCCCGCCTCCCCCCTCCCCCCTGCATAGACTTACCTGGAGGGATCTGCAGGAGCTCCTCTTTTTGCCTGGCTACCATATGCATATGTATGCACACATACACACACATCGTGCGCCCTGCCTCCCATCACCCTCCTCCTGCTCCAGCTGGAACTCTGCCAGCCTGCAAAGGGAAACTCACCATTTGCCATGTTTTTCTCCCTGAGTAAAACTGTGGGAGCCAATCCTTTTTTTTTTTTTTTTTTAAACAGGATATCACGTGGGCTGCAGCAGTGTGCTGATTGGGCTGCATGAGGCCCACAGGCTGTGGGCTGAAAACCACTGCTCTACACTAATGGGCCTGGGAAGGAGAATACTTGCCCAGTGGTAGACTTGATGACTGAGTTCTGCTCAGTGAAATTTTGGAACTTGACTATTGGGCTTTGCCCAACTGAATTTGGAACTGATTTGACCTTGAGAATTTTTTTTTAAGTCTGTACTATATATATGAGGGTGCCAACATGCTGCTCAAAACTGTATTTATGGAGTACCTGTGCTAAAACTTGCAGCAGTTTCAAAAAGAGGTAACGTGCATCAATTCTGGACAAACTAAGTGTGTGGGTACAATAGGCAAGCTACTATAGCCATGTTTAATTTCAATGTTACTGTTTTCAATTTTGGTCCTCATTTCTAGCGTTCAGGGAGAGCAGTGTCTCATGCAAACTATGCATAAGTGCAAAGTTTGTGCCATATGTAACTAGGTACAAGAGTGCTGCTTAAAAATGTGTTTATGCAGTACCTGTACTAAAAGTTGCAAGAGTTTAAAAAAAACCCATAAAATGCATCAGTTCTGTATGAACTAATTCTGTGGGCACTACATGCAAGTTATTCCAGGTATGTCAGTAACTTGTGAAAGCACCCTTAAATCAACTTCATAATTGGCTTCCATTATCAAGTACATGCTGCTTTGGCAGCAGTTTAATGATAGACAATGTATTTAAGACAAGGGACTTCTTCCCCGGGCTGACTGGGGGGACAAAAACTTGTTTTGTAGTCAAGTAAATATGGGAAAGGGGCCACTCTTCCATGCCTTCTGCCCAACTACTGCAGATTCATAATAAGTGCTTTAGCAAATTCCCATGAAGTTACTCCGTACGCAAGTTTAATTTTTTGCCGCCTCAGCTCAAATTATGTTATTTTTCTCTGCCAATTTTTTCTGTTCACTCCCCTTGGTTGACCTGATGTCCTATTTGTGTCGACTCCCTAGCTATTTGGCTTGCTATCTCCAAGCATAAAAAGAAAAAGTTGCCATTGCATACAATATGTATTTTAAGTCATCATGTCAAATATGTCAGGTTTATAATGAGATGTCAAGTAGGGCATACTAAGCCCTTGTACGGGTGCTAAAAGCAAACTGAAGCAAATGCAAGGAGATTTTCTGCCTACCAAGGACAGATCACAGACACCCCTTTAATTCAGAAGCAGTACAGGTGATATCAGCACTGTGCCACTCTTGGAAACATGGGTGAGAAATATGGCTCTGCCTACCTGCTCCCACTCCACACTCTGCCAAGCCCATAAATGAAAGCATGGAGGCATCCTGTCCTTTGAGTTGTTCTCAGCTTCTGCCTTGTCCATGCTTGAGACTCCCCTCCCTGTAATGGACAACACCCCTGAAACTGCTTCATCACCCTCATCTCAGAGTTTGGCAAGTAGATACACTAGAGAGATGGCCATCATCTGTCCAAGGTACGAACCAATAGCAAATGAAGCTGCAGAGCAGGATGACTTTCCATATGGGCTGTACCAGCCATGCCAAGACCCTAGCCTAGGTACATATGAGGGCATGGTCAAATATACATCTAGAGTGGTTGCAGAAGGGGATGGGGAGCAGCTGCTTCACACTCCACAACTCTTATACATGCAAAAGCTGGGACCCATAAAAGATGTAACATTATCCAAGGTCTAGATTTGGATCAGTTTGGCAACATTTGTAATGCTTCTGTGATACACACAAACTGTTACAGCATAACAACTGCTGCAAGCCCCAGAGCTGCAGCTCCCCCTTCCCCTTTCAAAACCATTCCAAGCGTGGGTTGTCCATGTCCTCCGACAGCTGGTGCTACCAGTTTCATTGCTACTTACACTGGAGGCAGAGCCATGTGCTGCAACCACACCGTCAGGTATAATACAGACTTACCTTAAGACTAAATACAGACAGTCAAAAAGCATGAGGGGAGGGGGGGCGCTAGAGCACACCTCCCAGCCTGACAGCCACTGCCAAAGAAGGGACTGAAGCTCCAAGACTTTTCCCCACTCCCTGCTCAAGCAGAGGGGGTCAGGCCAGGCCTCAGCCCCGGGCTAGTACGCTGAGCTGGCAAGGGAAGAAGGCACCAGGGACAGGTGTGTGGTGGAAGCCAGGGAGACATAAGCCCGGGGCAGGGGGTGTTTGTGGAGGCTTAAGCCCCCTGGCATTAGTTGGCCTGTCCATGTTTCCCTGCCTGGCTGCCTTCTGGGGGAGGAGTAGGGCAGTACTTAAGGCCAAGAAGGGGTAGAGTGGACCCAAGTTGAAAATGGGTAGGAAAACTACAGGTGGCAAAAATTTTGGACACTAGGTCATCCCCACTGATTCCTATAGGAGGCTTTCCATCCCCCCTTGAGGCAGGCCCCATGTCTCTCGGTGCTGCATGCAGGCAGGCAGGAGGTCCAGTTATACACTGGATAGGTGGAAAGGGAGATAGGTCAGAGCCTTCCTGTGCAAGGGTCAGTCTCCCTGCCTGCTGCAGCACCACACCAGGCACTAGGTCAACCCTGGGGGCATGTGGGGGAAGAAGAACAGGAGAAGAGCCAGACCCTTCCTGCCCTGCCAGCCTGCCAGGGACTGCCCACCACCCGCCCCAGGAACACCCAAGCTGCGATCTAGGGCTAGGGAAGGAGTTTAAACTCGTCAGGGTTTTCCTGGTGGGGAGAGCAGTCCCTCTCAAGCTGTTGGTTCCCCCCACACACCCCACTCCTCACTCGAGCAGAGAGCAGGAGCATGACCACACCTCGGTCCAGGGCCAGCACACTAAGCCAGGGAAGGGGTTTTAAATGCTGTTCCTGGCCCTGGACCCCAGCCAGAGTGGGCACTGAAGGGGAACTGCCATGCATCTATCCTCCCCCACTCCCCCGGCTCAAGCGGAGAGTGGGGGAAGGGGTGGCCACACCCTAGCCCAGGGTGCTGAGGTGGGGGGGTGGGGTTTAAACTCCCCACCCCCGGCCCCAGACTCCAGCCTAGGTCTGGGGGGGAGCCCCTGCCAAGCTTCTACCACCACTTCCCTCTAAAGGGGAAGAAAGGACAGCCTTCAGCCAAGGTTTCTCCCTCGCTCCAGCAGAGACGGGGTGTAGCCACTGGGGCTTAAGCCTTCTCCCTGGCCCCAGACCCCAGCTGGGGTATGCCTGGGGGAGGGGGGGCAGTGCCTCCCATGCTTCCCCTCCACCCTCTCCGCAATTCCAGCAGCAAGTGGAGAATAGCCTGTCAGGGTGTAGCGAAAATAGATACTTTTCTCTATGTTTCTTTGTTCCTTGTTTTAGTATTAACCCCTGCATTCTGTAATTTTCCACCCACATAGTACAGGATAGCCCACTACGTATGTCTTATAGGTTGCTCAGGTTTTGGTTTGAAATGACCAATCAAAATGTAACACGTCAACTGAAAAAAATGCTAGCTCAATAAAAGCCATGTGTGCTCTTTGTTTACGGTCGGCACTGATCTGAGCAACAAGCTCCTCTGTCGGCCTGCTTGCAAGCAATAAAATAGAGTTGGACCCAGCCTGAAAGTGTGACTCTCCTAGAGGTGAACTGGACTAGCCTCCAGGGGATAAAATCAGCAATTTATGCAACAAGGGGCTGCACCACTGCCACGCAGACCCCAGCTGGGGTCCCATGCCGGTGGGAGTGAGATTTCCCTTCCTCCCCTTGGCCTGAGCCTGCCAGCCCATGCCCCCCATCCCCTTCACTCCAGCATAGAAAAGTCTGGCATGGGCTGCTGCCTGCCCTCCCCCACAGCAGACCCAGCTGTGGTCCTCAGCCAGGTTTCCCACCCCCACCCCCTTGTCAGTCAGCCTTCACTGCTCTGCCTTGGGAGGAGAGAGGCAAGGCCAACCCTGTTCTCTGGAGCAGACAGCACAGCACAGCACAGCATAGGGCTGCAAAGCATCCTGGGATGCTGGGGTACTGATTTTACTTGAACCAGGAAGGGGTCTGGGACAGAAGTTTCATAAACTGGTTTGACCTAAATCAGGTAAGTATGATACTACTTTCAACCAGGTTTATCTTAAACTAGTTTCTGCCATTTTGAAACTAATTTATGTGCACTGAACTTCTGTTCTGTTACAGATTTAAACCAGTTTCTGATCATTTAAACCCATTTATGTGCATCTTCTGTCTCTAGCCCAAAAGGTCAGGGCCTAGCCCTAACTTTCATCCTAGACAAAACTTTCTGTTATGTCCTTACTACATATTCATTCAAGTATAAATATAGATATAATTAACAGATAGATATCTATGCTTTAGTGAACTGAAGTCTTTGTTTCAATGCGAATGTACTTAGCAGCAGAAGAAAAAGGAAACCAAAATTCTCATCAATATATGTATTTAGTAACAGTACTTTAAGAAAAGAAGTCTCATTTTCTCTGCGCCACAGTTTGTTTACAAACAATAGGAATAATGCCCACCTCTGTTATGTAATTTAAAAAAATCAATGGATGAAAAATATTCTATCAATACAAACAAAAAAAATCTCTTGTAAAACATACCAATCCCCCCTTTTATAGTATGTAGTACAATAAGAAAAGCCAAACCACACACCTGATTGTGGTTAATTGGAGAATACAGACCTGTGTTAGCTTTTTTAATATTAAAAAAGTGTTCTTTACAACATCTTTTCTTATAAGTCTTCTCACATCAGACTCAAGATCTGAATACTACTATAAAAGAACATATCACAAAAACTGAATCTATACTAAGCACATTAAGTGATACTCTCATGCATAGTAATTAAATTAATAAACACAATAGATTCATCTTAATTCTAAAATTTAGAGCCAATATTTATTATTTTCTGAATCATAAAATCAGCTACATATTGGAAGAGGAAGCATTTAATTAACTGCATTTGAAGTACTCCATGTTATACCATACATACATTTTTTTAAACCTATGAAAACCCAAAAGTATACAAGCACGAGATTCAGGACGGACAGAAGTCAATTTGGGATTAGTTCCTTAAATTCAGAAAGCTACCTGAAAAAGGGGTATCCCATAATGCTGCAGAGCTATAAAACAAGAAATTTCTACCAGTAAGAAAAGGAAACTCCCAGCTCCCTAAAACAGACAAAGCATAGCTCTGAGCCACTGAAAATGCCTAGATACTTTTATAATTATATTTTTTACTAGAAAAAAGTTATCTTTGATAATTTTTTGCATGTTTGAAAAAGTTTCACATTTTCTGTGTTCCTCTTGGCACTACAAATACAGACACAAAAATACAAAAAAGTCCAATCCCTAATAAAACTAAATTAAAAAATAAACAAACAAAAATGCTTATTTAACTGTAAATGCAGTGCTAATGATGTTTTCATATAGCTTTAAGTCAGTACAATCTCCCCTTTTATTTTATATATACATCTATAATATCATGTTATATATGTATTAACATGTGTATCACCCATAAGTACATTACTATGTTCACAGAGAGAGCAATGTACAACCTCCATTTAAAACTGATCATTTTGCTTACAAAAGATCCAAATGGGTACAGGATAATCTACTGCACCAAAGATCACATATCTTGGGTTAAATTAAAGCCAGACATTAAACCAAAAACCTATTCTCTTGGTATAATTAACACAGTGATTCTCAACCAAGGTGCTGCAATGCCCTCCAGTCCCTTGAGATACTCTCAAGGGTGCCACGCAATGTTAGCACCCTTACGTGTTCAGACGTGATTCAGAACATAAACCCAGAGATTTCAAGTAGGTATCTGTGGTGTTAAAACCATTCTGACCTGTTGTGGTCTGTGTTCTTCACAACAGAATAACTGCTATATTACTTTTCTGTACATAAAATGAGTAAAAACTAGGAGCTGGCATGTTCTAAGAGGTGCCTCGAGTTCTTAAAAGGTTGAAGACCACTGAACTAAGGTATATACGGCAGAAGACAGGGTAAGATGGCATCTTATAAACTAATTTAGTCTATGTAAATATACAAAAAGCTGCTTTTTAGTAATACTCCAACTTCTTAGACAAGAAACTTTTTAAGGCAAGAACCATTTTCACTCTTTAGTGTTCGTTTGGCATCTAACATTTGTGGACTCAAGCAGAAACAAAAGAAACAGATCATATATAGCTGTAAACTGTTCCCATTTTTCAGTGAGGAAAAAAAAAACCATGGTCATATTTCACCATCCATTTTCCAATGAGGAAAAAAACATGCTCATATTTCACCAAATTACTAATGTAATAGAATGCAGAAATATATTGTCAAGATTTAATTTTAAATTTTATAAGCAAGTTTCAGGGAGATGATTTGTAATGAATATGCCTTTCAAGCATATATATTTTTTAAATTTTGGTATGAAAAAATAAAAATTAAGTATTTTTCTCAATAAAAGCATCATATCTCCAAGCCAAATTCTATTAAATATTGATTACAGTACCATGACAACAGAAGTGCTATCAGCTCTCTTACTGGGCAACAGCCACTAGAAGTATTTGTGCTGAAGAAATAAATTCAGCATTTCTTCCAAGGCTACATGAGTTATTCCTTTTAGACTGTAGTCTCCTGTTTTATAAGCACCACTTTCATTCACAGGCACCATTGTATGATGCAGAAGCAGAAGTCTAAATATTGTATAGAAAAATTATTCCTGAAGTATTTTGTAGAAAACAATTTTGTTTTGACCATTTGTTTTGAATCAGCAACTTGGCTTTTTCAGCATGGGTAAATGTGTGGGAAGACATTCTCAATATCCTCTTTACTATCTTGTAACTAAGCTGAACTGAGAAAGCAATTTATAAATAGATCATAGAATATAAGACGATAAGCACAGTTCCAATCACAAAAATATTATTTTGCAGAACTTACTGCAGAACTGTGGCAAGAATTTTAGTTTCATAGTTGTTCACGGCCGGAAGAGACCTTACAGATCATCGGGTCTAGACCCCCTGGCACATGGGCAAGAAAGACTGCTGGGATCAAATGATCCCAGCAAGATGGGCATCAAGATGTTTTTTGACAATTGCCTGGGTGGATGACTGTACCACCTCTGGGAGGAGCCTGTTCCAAACCCTCCCCACTCTATTTAGTCCACTGAATAAATACAATTTTATGACAACTTTTTGCAAAAATGTCTGGTGCAAATATTTCTAAAATTAAACATAGGTAGCTTAAGGAAAAAAAACTTCATTTTAAAAATGAATGAAGCATCTGTCTACTGTGGCAATATGGCAAAATCAAGTAAATGATAAAAGAGAGCAAACTGCACAGGAAAATATTTTCAGAGTTTCTAACCAATAATAAAACTAGGCAAACATTTTATATTAAATGTTAAGAACTCAAAATAAATGTTAGAAACATAAATGAGATTTCTCACTTTAGAATATTCTGAATTCAAAAGGATTTCCATTAAAAAATACTTACCATCTTCATTCAGGAATAGCTTGTTGAACCTTAATCCACTAGGCTCTTTACCAACATATCTGTGTACATACTCTGTGCCAAGGTCATTAACAGAAATAGCATATTTCAAAGGCTTTACACAGGACTGAAGACAAAACGGAACTTTAGTATCTCCAACAGAGTGCCTGGTAGAGAAAAAGATGAAAATATTTAGAATTGTCTATTTTCTTCTTGAGAACTTGCACTTATAAATGTTCCACTAATTTCTTTATCAGACTAATAGGGACACTGGTACTATACATATTATTGAATCAGGTTTTTTTTAAAAAGAGCAAAAACTTGTGCTTTGAACCTTGTAAAGGCAATAATAAAAATTCAAAGGCTGGTCAAGCAAGTGAGAAAAAGGAAGCAACTGACTTGTCAAAAGTCTGGAGATGACTGCACCAATGTTGCATTCTCCAAATAGGAATTCCTGCTGAAGGTATTTCATTACAACCCAAAGGGTTAAAGGTATTTTTAATGAGATAATTCAAGAAGCCCAACATGACTTTGAGCTACCAGGACTGAAAGATTAGGTATTGAAAATTAAAATTTCAAAAGCGTCTCTGTGTAACTTCTGTTCTTTAGTGAAATAATGAAATACAATGCTTTGGAAACATTTATATTAAAACAAACTAAATAAATAATTCATAATGAAAAGTGCAAAACTGACTACGGATTCAATTAGACCAGCAAAAACAGAAAAAATTGACTTAAATGTTGAATTCCAAGATGGCCAAGTTGTCTGTCAGTTAAGTTTTAAGATATTACTTACTATTATTTGCAAGAGATTTGTGTAAAAAAGTCTCTAAAGAAGTACACAGAATCACTTTGACTCTATTAATAGTATAATGCCTTTCGTTATTATGTTCTGTAACTTTTTTAACAAAGCAAAATGACAGCCTAAGAAAGAGTAATCTTTTGTTTACATTTAAAGGGCCTTTCAACAAGGAAATTAAAGCTCAAACCTTATACTGGTATATCACTATGCTAATACGGAAGGTTATGTAGTATTTTCATTTCAATGCTTACCACAATAAGTGGCATATGACAGAACTGAGGCAGACAAGGTTCTTTGGGTAAATCTGGTATCTTTTATTAAACCAACTAAAATACTTGGAAACATTCTTCTTTGCAAGCTTTTGGATACAAACACCATTCTTCGGGCACAGGAAGTGCACCTTTGAGGAAGACCTCAAATGAACAGTACTATCAGGGATCCTGTGTTGCCAAATATCAAAAGGCAAAGCTCTGGACAACAGTGTCATCAAGCATACACAAAGCTGTTTCCATTGACCAGGAAATACCAAAAAAATTTCTTCACTGACTGACCCATAAGACATCATCACAATTAGAGAGGGACTCTGTCACTATAGCTTAGAGTCATTCAAAAAGTGAAACTGTAAATGGCTAAAAACATACCTTTGTCCATCCACTGTACAAAGTGACACTCCCCATAAGTCAGGGCTGAACTTTGCCAGCTGTGGAATATAGTCAGCAACCTACCCATAACATGGGATAAAATGAAAGAGAAACATTTTGAACAACATGATTAACTAAGTCAGTTCTACCATAGTACTTATTTTCATTAAGTTCATGTGGAATGGAATGACTAAATTATTCTGCCAGCAATCCAAAACCTTCCTACAAATATACTGGAAAGCATTTCTTATCACAATTTAAATTTCAGCTTGTTCCAGAAAAAAATAATGTCCCAATATTTATAACTGTTCAGGATTTTCAAATTATGCATGTAATTAACTTCAAATAAAGTTTTCAAAGAATCTTTTATAACACAAAATTAATGAAAGCAAGAATGAATGCAGTGATTTAACAGAATTATTGTATTGGCAACAATGTGTTAAAATTCCCTCCGCATTCCTTCGTCTCTCACAGGCTATCCTTACTTGACAAGTTAACCAAGCATTAGAAGTCTCTTGCAGATGAGCTCATATCAGCCAAATTATACAAAAAAATCCCTTATTTTTTGCACCTGCCAAGCACACATGCCCACACTATTACATCACCAAATAAATGATCCAATTACGCTTACACAGTTACAGATATAATTTGGCTCAGAAGACTTCAGAAGCAAGCCAAGTTTGCTAACATTAGGAAACTACTCCAATTAGGAAACAAACAAAGGAGTTTGGTTAATTTCCAAAAACTTTAAAAGTTCAGCAAGGTTTTTCTGAACAGTGAAAATATATCAAAGCATTGGACAATGCACACTTAATGCATACTGGTTTATTTAAATTGAAGCATGGAAATGAAGAAAACGCAACAACTCAAAAAAAAAAAATCACTCTACAACATAGTTCAGTCCGTTTCCGCTTCCAAAACATTGTTTTTAAAAATACATGAAGGAAAAAAAAAACTGCTTCTACTCAAAACTGTGGCTCTTCTGAGGCTGGGCAATTTTATGAGAGTGAACCTCCTCCCACCTCTCCACAAATCAAAGAACATCTGCCCTTTAAGAAAATAAAAGTACCTTTCCTCCAGATTGTTTCTTAGCGCTTTCATACAATTCATCAATATGTGAAGTAAATGACATAAAATCTGGTATGACAAACTTTCGCCTGAATGCTTGAGTAAGCAGCACAATATTGCTTTGTACACACCTACGGAACACAAGAAAATGATTGTATTAGTAATTATGCGAAAAGTCTAATTTGTCAGAGAAACGTAGCAAGGACAATACTCCAGGCCTTGCCTATAAGTACTGAATGGTATTGCGTGTGAGAGTCTGGCTAGACAATCAGACAACTTTGACATTTTGTGCCTACAAGAATAATTCTTTATTAGAAAGTCTTCTAGTCCACAACAGAGGTGGGGAAATCTTAAATATATGGTTATAGTAGTCGCATTTTACAGTTTTATGCTTTAATGGTTTTAGACTTTTACTTAAGTTTCACAGTTGTAGAGGCACACTGCATTTCTCGTTGCCTGTGGCCACCTGTAACCCTGTTTAGGGGTGCCTAAGTTCCAATGGTTGCCCCTTCCTCAAAGCCCCATTTCTAACTGGCTCGTACCATGAACTGCATGAGAGCTGCAGAAAATTTCAGGAAAGAAGATAAGATGAGCACTCCCTCACTCTCTATTCTAAACAGCAGAAGTTTGGATATAACAATGCTTAAACTGGAGATTAGAGAACAGTTGGTAGCTCCTGAAAAACAACTCTGCGCCAAGTTGCCACCAGGCCAAGAGTGCCTCTCCTAGAATCAGACCCTCTAGGTACACTGCTTTTCAAGCTTTTTACATTTGCAGACCTCTAAAAATTTTTAAATGAAGATGCAAACCCCTTCAGAAATTCTGAGTGGAGGTGTGGATTCCTGCGACCTTTAAGTGGGGGTATTCACCTACTTTTGATTAATCTTTCCCAGACCCCTCAGATATAGTCTGCAGACCCCCAGGGGTCCGAAGACCACAGGTTGAAAACCACTGCTCTAATAAGTTTGAGGAGATTCCAAGCAAGGTGTGAGGGCCTACGGTAGCTGTACCGTTTGATGTCATAGCTGGATTCGGGGAAAAAACTAAAAAAATTGAAAAAAAAATTGAGAGCAACAAAGGAGACAAAGTAAAGAGAGGGGTCAAACCACAAGAAAACAGAGGAGTAGTTATTACAGGCAAGGATTTTTGTGATGTACCTTTTACTGGACTCACTGTGTAGTTGGAAAAATTGTTGAATAAATTTTCAAACATAAAGGTTTCTTTAAAAGATCTGTGAATCTAGGGGACACCTGAAGAAGGATACTTTTATGATGCACATACTTTCAAATATAAAACATCCTCCTTCACACTGCTGGTTCAACAAGAAAAAAGATCACAGATAGCCCATCCCACTCATATATTTCCTGGACCATCACTGCAACAACACTTCACCCCTACTATAACCCAGACACAGCATAAGGAGATACATGTGGAAGCAGAACAGGAAGATATTTACACCAGTGAGGTTCAACCCAAAAACCTATAGAAATCTGGCAATATATTACCAGATATTCAAACTCATATAATCAAACATTGTGTGATTTTGCTTATTTTCTGAGGTATTTGCACACAGTGAAAATTTACATAATGGAAACTAAAACATAGGAGTATGTTGCAAAGGACATGGCATTCTTTTGGTAGGCTCCTGGTCACTCTAGAACAGGAACAGGCAATTATTTCGGCTAGAGAGACACTTACCAAGTTTTGGCAAGCTGTTGAGGGCTGCACAGGTAGCCCCACCCCTTGACAAGTGTCTCACCCCCTGGTCACCATCTTGGGACTGGAAGTCCTGCCCTCCCCAATGCCTGACCTTTGTCACCAGAAGTCCCTCCCCTTGCCCCCAGAAGTATACCTTTCAGCAAGGGGGTTTGCCATCTCAGAACCACAAAAATACCAAATGATATTCTAAAAAATCAGAAATCTTCTACAACATTCATCAATTTGATTTCAAAAAATATTTTTGTCCTGATTTACCTGCGTTTGTGTAGTGTACCTAGAGGTGATTGTATAATAGCTTACAATGAAGTCTTACTCTTGCATATTGTGGTGGGGTTGTGGGGGGTATAGATGGGTGGGTATGGTTTTATGGGGAGTTGTAGGGGAGTGTGTGTGGGTATGGGGGGAGGGTGGTGGCATGTGGAAGGAGAGGATAACTGGGGTGTGAGGGGGTGTGGGCTGTGCATGTATGGCAGTGCAAGGGAGGGCGTGGGACTCCCA